CTGTGAGGTGAGTTGGGCTGAGAGAGAGGGACTGGCCTAGTCACCCAATTTGCTTTCATGGCTAAGACTGGACTAGAACTCAGTCTTCTGGTTTCTAGTCTGGTGCCTTAACCAGTAGACTAAACTGGCATTTTTGATGTTTACCTTTGAATAACTATTTTCAGACTGGAAGTCCTGTTAAACTGTTGCAGCAAAAAGTACATAAACTGTGGTAACAACAAAAAGATAAAATGGCATATTCTTACAGACAAAGCATATAGCTTATTTCACTAGCTTTATCTAATCAAACGGACACTGTCTATAGAGGTTATGCCATAATAAACATGTTCCTCCTTAATATGCTGCAAGAAATCTTGACTGCCTTTGTATCTGATTTGTATGTAGTTATTATTTAAAAACTATTTTGATTGCCTTCTTCTGTACTTCTTCCAACTCTAATAAAGTAGGACAGCCAGAACTCCAGATACAGACATATTATAGATTTTTATCAGGACATTACAATATTGGCAGTTTTATTTTCACTCCCTTTCCTAACAATCCCTGGCACAGAATTTGTATTTTTCACAGCTGCTGACACTAAGTCACATCTTCACTGTGCTATCCACTATGACCTGAAGCTCTTTCCTAGTTAGAGACCACTCAGACACCATCAATGTATATGTGAAGTTGGGGAGAGGGAATGTACATACATGAAAACTACACGTGTAATATTAAGAAGACAGTTGAAGCATATCACAGTTGTAGACAGTAAGGAAAATGACCTGGATGGAAATATGCAAGAACCATTACCTAAGTAAAGGGGGATGAAACAAATGAGGTAATATTCAGAAGTGGCTCAGGCAGACACCTTCCTGATTCACTGGACTATAAGGAAATATAAGGATGGGGAGAGGCTACAGCATAAACAGACTTGCAAGATTATGTTATTATAGCTAATTTCAACAAAGGTAGTTTTAGCCTTACTGTGGAGTCAATTTCCTGGTCTGGTCTAAGTAATGGGGCTGGCAACAGGTAACCAGTTTGATACTCATGCATATTGTTTCACCTAAAAGCCTGAAATTCTGCAGTGTGTTAATCATGTTTCAGTTGAGTTAGTTCCAAACTAAACAGTTGCACATAGTTCCCATTTCATTCAGTAAGATATAAGTTATTCATATACAGTAACTAGATTCTCACATTCAATCAGAGGACATTTAGCCCATTGAGTCTAATCTTCTGCTCAGTAGAAGAATCCAAATTAAAGCATCTCTAACAGATTGCTATTTATGCTCCACTTGAACATAACCAGTGAAGAGAAGACCACTGCCTTGCTGGGTAAATGGTTCCATTATATAAACTCTGGAAAATTAAGAGGGTTTAAACTTTATCTTCTGACATCCTTTCGGATAATTGAAGAGTGCTACTGACTGCTCTTCAGTGTCTTTTTGCAAAGATACTTCTCACAATCCCTTCCCTGTTTATTCATAAGGGCCCAGTTTCTAACTTCTGATTAACCTAATTAGATAAGATAAGATAAGACAAGATAACCTTTATTGTCATTTTTTTACTGTGGGCACAACGACACACATCAAAAATGAAATTTAGTTGCTCACTCTCAAAGTGAAACACATACATGACACACACCTAAACATACTATATACAACATATGTACAGACCCACACCCCTACATATACATAACAAATAAATATTAAATACTGTCCATCTTGAATATATAACGGAAGGAGGAAGCTTGAGAGTTCACAAGGTTAATGCTGTATGGAATGAAACTATGGCTGAATCTGAATGTTCTGCTTTGGATACCACGAAGCCTCCTCCCAGAAGGTAACAGGGAAAACAGGTCGTGAAGAGAATGTGTAGTGTCCCAGATAATCTTACGGACCCTGCTCAAGCAATGCTTCTGTGCTATGTCCTGGATGGGAGGGAGGGAACTGCCAATGATCTTTTTGGCCATCCTCACCACTCTCTGCACCGCCTTCCTGTCTGAAGCAGTGATGCTTCCAAACCAGACCGTGATGCTGTATGACAGGATGCTCTCAATCGTCCCCCTGTAGAAAGTGGTAAGGATAGGAGAAGGAAGATGTGCTTTTCTCATGCGACGCCGAAAATGCAGGTGCTGCTGTGCCCGCTTCACCAGTGTCTCGCTGTTGAGCAACCAAGCCAGCCTACTCGTTAGCTACACACCCAGGAATTTGATGCTGGTAACCATCTCCACAGGTGAATCATTAATGCACAGAGAAGTGTGGCTGTGCTCCTCAACCATTGAGAAACGCTCTTCAAAATGTGATTTTCAACTCATTGTCAATGCTGCAATGAATTGAACTGAAGCCATTTTTTCTTCGTTTTCGGTTGCCACATATTTAGAAGGGGAGGAGGGGGGAAGTGTAGTTTTCAGTTAGCCATAACAATTCTTAGGTATGGGAACCAAGGTCATTGCTGATTACATTTTGGCGGGCTAGAGATCTGGGAGGAGTGCCCGCCTTTAGTAACAATTGGAGAATGTGATTTATGACATCTAATTGGGGTGGGAACTGCAACTTTGCAACTTTGTAACCAGGGGGAGGGGAATTTAGTCTTGGGTTCACCTATGTACATGCCATTATTTTGTAACCAAATAAAAATGTTCTTTGAGGAAGAATTCCTTGCCTTGAAATTCTTTTAACTGGTCTCATCTATCAGAACCATGACACTCATATTCAACAAGCTTACTAATCAGAATGTCATGAAATACTTTGTCAAACGCTTTGCAAAAATTAATATATTACTTCTATAGTATTCTCATAATCTATTAAGGAAGTTACCCAATTAAAATTAGTTAACATTTATCTGGAAAGAGTTGTTCTTGACAAATCTATGCCACCATCTGGGAATAGTACATTTTCTAAACATATTTAGGGTTAGGGATGACTAAGTAAAGTAAGTAAGTTTTTCACTGATATTAAGGGATCTAACAATATAGTACTGCTCAAGAAAAAGAATATGTAATTTCATTTGAGAGGAAGGCATGTAAAATGGCTTTTTAAAAATGCACCTTCACTCATCCCACTTCCCCAAAAGAATTTGCTTTAGAAAAGTGTAACAAGTTATTAATTTTACACTACAGTAGTGGCCAAAATTGTGGAAACCTTTTGGGAAAAGTGTATTTTTGAGGTTTGATGGCTAATAACAACACTTTTTGGGGGGAGTAGTACCATAAAATTCTATATCAATGGAAAGATAATTTAATCAAGAATGTAATGCAACAAAGTTTGTTCAATTATCTGTACTGTATTCTATGAAAAGTTATAGCCAAATAACCAGAAAAAGGAAGCACAACTTGCTTAGGTGTCAAGCCCCGAGGGCTCGACATTCACAGGAGGGGGGGGGAAAGGCGACAGAGAAAGCACACCCCGCAGCTCCAATGTGGCTATGCCGCCAGATAGCCATGCCCCACACCAACGCTGGCAAGGACGTCACCGAATGGCTGGGCGGCTTGGCGGCTTGGGCCCAGTGATGCCGGTGACGGATGAGGAAGCCTCGCAGCAAGGCCGCCGATCAACTGGCATGCAAGGACTGACGCGGTGCCCGAGGGGGAAGGGGGCCTACCTGCGCTGCAGAGGGTTCCGACACTCCACTGCGAAGCACGGAGCTGGCCCCAACCAGCTGTGACTGGGCGGCAGGCCAAGAGAGAGAGAGAGGCCCCTGTGGTGTGGCTTTCAAAGACAGGCACTGGATGTTGGCCTGCTGTGTGTGGGGGGGTGTGGAGCTGCGGATAGGGATTGTATGTAAAGCGCTGGGAGCAAGTCACTCCCAGCGCTGACTTTGTTTGTGGAATAAATCACTTGTTGGACCGTTCCTGTTTGCCGGTCACCTTGTCATCCTTCTTCTGTGTCTTGAGGGAACCAGGGACTGGTAAGGACGCTGACAGAAAAGTCAGCGCTCCCCTTTTTCATTCATCCTTTCCCATTACCCTTGTGTGCTATCCAGGGAATGGCTGAGGGAACGCAGGAGGCAGCACCTGTGGCTGAGGGAGGAGAGCCAGCTGAGGCAGCAGGGCCAATGCCTGACGCAGGAGCTGGGGATGCTCAGCCAGTGGTGCGGCCCAAGGCATGGCCTACAGCTCTGGTGAGTGAGCCCCAGGACGCAGGGCCCCCGGGCCCTTTGGGGGAGTGGTGGCACAGCTCTGCGCTCACCAACCCGGATGCCAGCCACACACATACACCGGGCGCCGAAGGGCCTCTGATGGAGTGGCAGGAGAGGTGTCTCACGGGCGAAGATGATGGGGCTTGGAGCTACTCCACGGCACCCGGACGTCACACCATGGATATCCTGAGGGTCAGGTTCGGTGAGACCGGGTTCCAGGATCCCCCCTCATGGTCAAGATGGGAAGTGGTCCGTGAGATGGCTTCATGGCCCTGGACGGAGACACAGCTGACCCAGTCGGGACCACCCCGGTTCCGTCTGGCCAGCCCGCGGTTCAGGGTAGCCCCTGAGCATGCGCCTGGTACCCCTCAGGTGGGAGACCCTGACCAGGGTATACCGACAGAACAATCACGGCCTGAGTGGGAAGGCAGGTAGCTTTCCTTCATCTGATTGTAGCCAATGAGCATGAGTGTTTAGAGAGCCAATCAGGTGTCATCTTGTTTTGGCAATGAGCCAATCAGATCACAGTAGGGTTCAGTTATTGATGTCATGTATTGAAGCTGAGAGGAGGACATTTATCAGAGTGTTATGTGATCGCTATCAAGTTGGTTGGGGTTTTTTGTGTTCTTTCATTTAGTGAGCTTGTAAAACGTAATAAAATTAAAGTAATGGTGCAAAGAGTTGACTGGTCGCCCAGAAAGCGATGTAAAATAGTATTATTAAGTGAACAAGGCTACAGTTATAAAGAAATTAAAAGAAAAATTGGTGGAAACTTAACCAAAGGTAGCATTTCTACTGTACACTTTTCCTAAAAGGTTTCCACAATTTTGGCCACTACTGTACTTAAATGCAGATTTTTTTCCCTTATTTGTAGTATACACTTACATAGCAGTAGACTCCTCTGCATGGTGACCTGGTGGTCGAATGACAGCAAATCCGTTCTAAGGATGAAAAAGTCAAATATCTTTATTAATGTGTTCATTACATTATGATTAGTTACAACCTTTTTTATTGCACTTTCTGTCAAGGGGTTCACAGAAGAATTTACCTTAAGCTCCCCTGATGCCACTTTAAAGGCCAGCTCCAGCAAACAACCGACAGCCATGCGGACTACACTGGATGAGTGCAACTCATTCCATACTGTGTCGCTGTCAACCTGCCATGAAAGTTTATTATAGATCACAGGAGTTGCAGAAGTTAAATGGTTCAAGAGTAAAGCCTTCCCAGTTGACTTTATAATTTCCTTCTTTGATTTCTACCCCGCCTTTAGTACAGAAATTCATACACGTTACTTGTTCCTTCTATTTTTTCCACAACAACACTGCAAGGGTTGGGGTTGGGAGAATGACTGACCAAAAGTCATTCAGTGAGTTTCTGTGGCTGAGGGTGTACAAGAACCTAGATCTATTCATTTCTAGGCCAACAGCATAACCACTACCTCACACTCACTCCTGTAGACTTTGTCCTATCTATGAATGGCACTAAGAGCTTGAGGGAAGAAAATAACCAAAATAACTGGTAAGAGGAGCAGTGTTGTAATGAGATGACTCATGCAGGGACAGTCCTTTGTGGGCTTTTCTTTTGATGCAAACAGCTTTTAGAGAGAGTAAAATGGAGTGCATTCCCTAAGGATGCACCCTAGTTTGGTCCCACCTCTTACAGGATTCAGGAAAGTGGCAAAGATCCACCCTTTCCACCAAGCTCTTAAATTGTTAATAGAATTGATTTAATTATACTGATGTTTAATTTTACTCTAATTTTCACATTCTTTTTATTTTCACATTTTAGAATTTGTATTATTAATTGTTGTAAGCTGCCTTGAGTGCTATATGGATAAAAAGGCAGGATATACATTCAATTTTAAAAAATGGAAAAAAAATGAGAGACGCAGCTGAGGCCTCATCTATCATTTTATCTACTGCTTTCAGGCAGCCCCCCCCCATTGTTATATAGGAATCTTGTGGTTATCCAATAGCAAGTAGAATGAAGATAAGAAGCAAAACACCCAAAAGGATTTATTTATTTGTTTGCTTGTTAAATTTATTTGCCACCTATGTCACCATGGGGCTACTGTAGGCAGCTTACAACAATAAAAAGGAAGAACTGAAAAGTGTAAACAGAACAGAAGTAAATTAATAGAACAATAAAATAAACAATGAAAAAGAACACAATGAAAATACATCAATATGATGACCAAAAAGATGGACGGGTGAAGAGTACAGAGCAAGGGGGGTGAGGTGGATTCTGCCATCAATCTAGCAGCCACCTCCAGCATGGACCTCTCCCATTTGGACCCGAGGCCAACCGGCAGAACCAGGTCTTTAGGCTCTTGTGGAAGGATAGGAGGGTGGGGCAGAGGGTAAGATATTCCAAAGGGCGGGTGCTGCAGTAGATGTTGTGATTCCGTGCCAGCCTGTGTTCCCAACAGCTGAGTCTGAGGAATCTGAGGAGGAGGTGGAGGAGGCCGTTGAGGGGCCATCAGGGTCAGAGGGAGGCTCTGATGAATTACAAGACGCACGGCTTGATGAAGAGCCTGGCCCCTCCAGTCGTGTTTCTGATGAAGCTCAGCTGTGTGAGGAGCAGGAGTCAGATTCGGAAGGCTCACACCTGGAGGAGCTGATTGATGCTCGCAGACGTCGTC